TATATATATATATATTTTAAATCTTTGAGCTCTACCAAGATTAGAAACTAATAAATAGAGCTCATTTGTATTCATAGTGTTTAAGTGATGTAATGTTTTTTGTTTTAATACAATAATGGTGTCATTGAATTTTGTTCTGCCCTAAAACAAAGATTGACAATTTGTTAAAATGGTCATCAGGGACGATATGTACTAATACCAAAACATTGTGTAAAATATTGCACATGTCTTGTTGAACTTATTTCAGTGGGATTTTCATGAAACCTTCATATTCAAAATATTCATTTTTCTCTGAGTTTAAACTATTAGTGTCTGTTTTGTTTTGCATGTAATCTGCACCTCATGAATCTTTCTATACGTGCTTTGACTCTAATTTTTATCACCGTTACTGCAGGTATTTGCATGAACGTTTCAGCCAACTACAAGAGGAGGTGAATCTGCTGAAATCTAACATTATGAAGTACAAGGTACAGATGAAATGCATCTAGTAATATGGAAATGTAAAGCTGATTTGGAGGCTTACGAATCCTGCCGCAATTCATTTGATTTCATTAACTTTGTATTCTTATGCATGCACACTGAAAGTACAAGAGGTTGCTTTTATTTAAAATGTTCATCAAAGATGTTTTTACCTCCCCACAGACAGCTCTTGAGAGGAGGAAAAACTCCAGCACATATGGGAAATCAAACAATAGTCCCCTCACTGGAGTCCTCTCGGCCAAACAAGGTGAAAGCACAAACTGTTCAGCTCACTCTGAATTCTCTTTAAACTCTGACATAAAGAGATAAAAGAGCAGCTCATCTGGAAAGTGTTGAAGGGCAGTAAAGTATCGTATGTCACCTTTTGCAGCATGTAGAGTAGCTAAATGCAACCGATTCTCCCTTCAGTGTAACAAATCAGTTTCGTTCTTTGGTTCTAGCTGCGCCTCATTGCATTATTTAATATTTTTGTGCCGATCCTTCAAGCCACCGTCCGGACACCAGCTGGGTTACTAATTGTATTCTGAGTGGTGGAGAGCACCACTGGCAGGGAAATGAGCCTGCCATGATGACTGACAGTTGCTGGCAGAAGCAGCACAGTGGGTTCCGGAGTTAAAGTTAGGAGAGTGTCACCTAGTAGACAGCTGTTTCTAACTCTCCATCTCTGTCTTGCTCTTGTCATGCTGTTTTCCCCATCTCTTGTTATATTACCATGTTCTCTCTTTTATCTATTTTTTAAGTTCTGTGAAAGTTTTATTGGCAGGTTGTAGGTTAGTACCAAACATATCCTGAGTAAATGAGGCCAAGTTTCCGTCGATGGCGTCATTAAAACATGTAGCTTCAATTGAAAAAAGGCCTTCTCCCTCCTCTTCATTCCCTTCCTATCACACTCTCTCTGTCTGCTTCACTTGTATTTTTCCTCTCCCCACTCTCCTCTCCCTCTCCTTATTAGTCCAGGAGATGCTCCTGGAAGAGCAAGGCTGCAGCCTGCCAGCAACGCCTCAGTCCATCCACGACCTCAAGTCCCTGGCCACGGCTCTGCTGGAGACCATCCACGAGAAGAACCTGGTCATCCAGCACCAGAGGCACACCAACAGGTAATGCTCCTCCATTTCACAAGGGTCATCTTTTTCACTTCATCCATCTGACACACTTATAATGTTTGCCTACCTGGTTCAAGAATCCTCCTCCACCTCCAAGGCAAACACTGAACTCTGTCACACGAATACACAACAGTGCTGTTCATCAGTCCCACGTAACCTGACCCATAGTATTTGGTCTGCAGGATCCTCGGAAACAGAGTCTCAGATTTGGAAAGGAAGCTGAAGACGTTGGAGGTTTCAGGACTGTGGAGCCTTCCAGGTGGGTGTTAAATCTTTCACCCAAAAACTAAAACATTTAAGCTGTAGTACATTGCGGTCTCATTACTGAAATCCTGACCCCCCCCCCAAATCACTTAATCTAACACCAAACACAATACAGTTGTGAAACAAAGTCATTCTTTCAGGTTTTAGAATATGAAAACAAACAACAAGTGATACATTTCAATACATTGTCTCTTATTAAACAGTGTTTCAATGGCACAGTCATTTGTCAGTGAGATAAATTATTTTAGTTTGTGTATAAAATAATCATATTTGTCAATTACCATACATTTATATAGATTTTTAGAATGTTTCTGTATAATCCAGCAAGTACACATTGATTTTTAAGAATACAGAATTATGGCAAAATGGGTAAAAATGTTTTTATATAAATAAAGTTGTTACATGGCCAGGACCTGAACTGTACCTCACTGGGAAGTAAGACATCAGTCTCAACCTCTGTGTGTATCCACTATCCAAATACTACTGTACCATCTGCTTTGGCCTGGTTGGTACCTAACTGTAGCACACCATTAGCAAACATGACCATGTGACTATGGGTGTGTTTGTGTGTGTTTACATAAAGGAAATTGCAGTTAACTCGTTATAAACCGTGACATTTCTGTCCCTCTTATAATTAATAATTTGTTATAGAAATTTGATACCATTTTGTGCCTCACCTTTGTTGCTCTCCAATCTCATTTTATCATTTGTTTCTGTATGAGTAAAAAACATAACCCAGGGTTGTTTTCTCTAAATGTTCCAGCTAACAAACTAGTTTAAATTGATTTCACTTCTTCTCTCTTTTTTTATCTAATTACATTTGATATGGTTTTATGTTCATAACAATGTGTCTTTCTCTCTCTCTGGCTGCGTCTCAGGCTTGACCTACCGCGTATCCGTGGGAATTGGGAGTATGTATTCCTTCTGCCCCACTTAGCCCATCCATGCCCTCCACTATGTCATGCCAGGACCAATCTGGGCAGACGCCCAGAGAGCGTGTCACCTCATGCACACCGTTTACAATGTGTTGACTCCATTGACCACCCGCTCATATGTCTGTTCATGATATCATTGACTGAAGCAGGCTGCCTGAATATCACACACTGATCCTTTTGGTTCTAGTAGATCTGTCTTGAATTTTACACAAAGGCCATTTTTGAATGTCGGGGGTTGGGCATGTCTTAAGGACAGAAGAGACCTTTTTAAGGCAGGTTCATTTTAAAATGCGTTCCGATTCTAACTGGCGAGAATTTGAATCATAAATGCGAACAAGATATAGGTTGTTGAAAAGATAATTAGAATTGATTTAACATACTGCTTTTTAGGATATGAGATTGAAATTGAATAGTAAAATGTGCTCTCGAAGCTGCTGATTTTATTTATTTATAATTCTCTTTCCTTTATGTGAGACAGTAGAGAAATGACATACATATATATATACATTACATATATACCACACTATTTTATTTGCACCTATATCCATACCTTTTATATGAAGTAAACCCAGGCTTATGAATTATATACTTTGACATGCACTGTGTCTATAGTAGTGCTTCAAATCTGCTAAGACTGCTTCCCACTGTCAACAAACCTCATCCTCAGAACAGCAAACATATATTTAAAAAAAATAACTACCAAATCCAAACTGTATCAAAAAGTAGTATCCCAAACTACATTTTCAGATTTTCCAAATACAACCAGGAGACAAGTCAGTCTACCTAGAAAACAGCTCCCCGCTTCTCCCACTGGAGGGAGATGTTGTGCCGCGTATGAACCACACAGAGAGGTGGAGGGGCTGCGGCTGAATGGAGGTGCCCTGTCATGAGACCGTCATTCTCACCGCTATAAAACTGACAAGCATCCATTACTGAAAATGATTGCCCACATTACAAACACATTTAGGGGAATGTGCCGTTATTAGGGAATTTGTAGGCGAGGGCCCAGAGTGCCTGACGACCACACTGTCCACCACAGTTAGGGAGACAGAAATATAGAGAGGGAGATGCGAGCGTCTGTGGCCTTGATGTGATGTGAAGTTGGGCTGATGGATATTAAAGGCAAACAGGATAGGATGGAGGGCCTTGGCTGCCTACCTGAGGCCCGGAGAACACTAGAGGTGGCTACATTGTCTCCGGATGAGAGAGAGCCAAAAACAATAACAATGGTGTCCATGCAGCGAGTCAGATAAAGTTGTGATTGATAGATCCCCACCAGTCTTGCAGTCCACCCTACCTCCTCCCCCCCATGCTGAATGAGTGCAAGCTGAAATGTAGCACAGCAAGTGAAAGCCTGTCAGTGTGCATCAGCTATTGAGAAGACAAAGGTGGATACAGAAGGCACCCATATAGTTCTGTTTTGAAAAATTGACAGACTCTTTCCAGTTAAGAGGAAGGCATTTCCTTGTCACCCTAGAGCTAGACAGCATCCCAGTGTAGGGTTTAACCGTGTGACTGTTTGACAGACATGTTATGTTTCCTTATTTGTGATATAGAGTAGAGTATATGATCCTTAAATGCAGACGAGCCTGTTATGTTTGCATATACATATACAGGATGTATGTGTGTGTGAGACAGAGAGGGGGAGATAGTTAGACGGCTGGACAGGCAGCTGCCAGTCAGCTTTAAAGGAAGTCGCTCCTACCTCCTCCTGAGTGCTGCCTGGCTCCTGGAGACACACTGTCGAGCTCAGTCTGGGCTTTGCTCTTCATACCAGTAACCAACACCACCTTATTATTGGCTTTAAAAGGCAGCCTGCAGAACTCCTCTAAGGCCACTCTCTCTCAAAACTTAAAGACTCCACTAGGATGAAGTAGCAGAGTCTAAAAGCTACAGGCCAGCTAGCGGAGCTTAATGAAGAAGATATTTGCCTCTGGGAAACTGCTGACTTTTGTCTTTTAACATTGGTAGTATGATTGTACAACATCAAAGAGTCTGTTATTTTCTTTACAAATAAATACAGCTGTGAGCGAAGTCAGAAAAATGATGATATATCAATATATATATTAAGATCACAGACATTTAAATAGAGATTTTTCTTTACAACTGATACAATTAATTAATATCGCTTGTGGGCAGTGTTGCCAGTAAGTGAGAATGCTTAATGGCAATATATAATTCACAATGTCAGATGTACTCAGGACAAATGTTTTATTTGAGTTTTTTTATGTGGCTATATGAAATAGTCATTTTGAAATTAAAGGTTAATTTAGGAGAAACAAGACTACAAGTCTATCTCCATGCTAGTAGCTCTGTGAGAGGTAGGTACAGCAGTAATTCAAGATAAATGCAATGCCAACATGCTGATGTTTAGCATAATAAATTCACCATCTTTGTTTAGAGTTAACATTTATTCATTAGTATTTAAAACAAAGTACAGCTGAGGCTAATGGGAATGTCATTAGTTTTGCAGTTATTTGGTCACAAACCAAAGTCCTGGAGAAATTGAAATTTTGACATGGGATGACCAAAGGTATGATAATTTACCCTGAGGGGACTGGATTGCTCGTACCAAATTTCATGGTAGTCCAATAGTTTTTAAGACATTTTTAGCAAAAACCACAAATGTCAACCTCATTTTAGCGCTAGAGGGACCATGAATGTCTGTACCAAGTTGCATGGCAATCCATCTTATTGCTTTTTAGATATTTCAGTCTGGACCAAAGTTGTGGACCATCATTGCCATCCCTAGAGCCATGTCACTAAAACAGTAACGAGGTTTGATGCAGAAACAATCTAACAATGATTGAAACAGTTGCCTTGGTAAAAGAAGTCAAGGAACTTTCTAGATAACCACCAACCTCTCTTGGCGCCACCGGTTTGTATGTAGAAACCCTCAAGATCCAACAGCCCACACCCCACCTTCTCACTCACTGTTCCCAAATCAGTGTCAACACTGAGCATCCATAACAATATGGACTGCATTAATAACAATATGGTCTCCGTTCACCATTCATGATTCTCACGCATCGTGTCACCCAGTCATCCATTTTCTCATTCTTCTGTTTGTTTTTGTGCCTCACACTTGAATGGTCAGAGAAACAGGCCTATTCACAGGGTTTCTGTGACGTTAAAGGCTGATGTGCACACTTACAGGCTGGACTGTAGGCATGTGTCTATGTGAATACAGTTTTGTGTGTTTATTTGTGATGTCTGGTTTATAGTGCGCAGTCTCCTATGAGTAGCATATGGTGTCAGCCTAAGAGGCGTGCAGCCATCACTAATGAAGACAGATGACAGGGAATTGAAGCCACTTCCTGTGAGCACTGTAGTGCATACGTGCGTGTATGTATATACGCTGTGTGAAAGTACGCACAGCACAGCACAGCACAGCACCATACATGTGCTCGGATGAGCGCCATCCAATCCAGACATGCTCCAAACTTTCAGAACTACCACTCACTGTCTTTTCGTTGTCATTTGGATGTGACATTAACAGTGTCTGTTTCTTCCTGGTGGTCTCACAGGGACACGAGACATCACACTGAATGAAAACCTTCAACCGGAGCTTCATCCAACACATGCCACATCTTACCCAAACATGCATCCCAGAGTGCAGCCACCCAAAGGTGAGTGCGTAATTGTGTACAACTGGCTTCTCCAGCCATTGATAAGAGCACCCACAGCTAACGGCATAAACACTGCAATTAGCCACTGCGTGCTAAACACTCCTTGCCATCTTCCATGTTTAACCCTTAAGTCCTTTCCCTTCCCGCCTCCACTCCTCTCTGCTTTTCATTGGTGCAAGCTGCCCAAATGCCATGGCATTTTGGAAATGTGAAGCAAATTCTCGCCCGCTGACATTCAGAAACTTCTGCCGTGTTCCCCTTGAAAGGGGATGGGGGATGGGGGGCCATAAATATGGATGCCAGTTCAAGTAATGTTGCTTTCTTCTTGCGTGTTTTTTTCATGTGTGCGTGCATGGGAGAGGAGGTGGCTGGGACTCTATGTGCAGTCTTTAACCTTTTTGCCTGCACATCCACAAATATGGGTCAGTAATCCCCAAAGTGAGAGCATATTTTGGCGAAGAAGCAGAACTAAGCTGTTGCTATTGCCGAGATGCGGGGTGTCGCACTTGTCTTGCGTCCCCTTGTCTGGGGCACTGCTGCTATATTTAGCCTGTTGCCATGGAAGCACTTCAGTCACATAAGTAATTGAAATAACTTTCTACATTGGCACAGTGGTCCAACTCCAAAAGAGGAAAGTATTATATTATAGGCGTTGGTTTGTTAGCATACTTAGTTTATACTGGCTGTTCATCTGGTTTTCTTCATAGTGTGTTAGTGCAGCCCCACGTGTACAAATAGGTACTGAACATAGCTGTCTGCCCCTGAGAATCAACATAGCTTTTTTGATTCAAGTTCCTTTTTACAGGGCTTTTTAGCATCTTGGACTACTGTGTCAGTCTAAGATATAACTGCAAAGTGTGTAGATTGGGCTGAACTATGGACCTTTTATCTCTTTATGTCCTCGTGTTTTCTGTCAACTGTCATTTCAATTCTTTATACTTTATAATAATTAATAATATATTCTTTATTACCCTAACTCGAGCTAGAGTTCGGTATTAGTGTTAGTAGAGCCAAAATGATTAGTCGATCAATCGATTAGTCAATATACAGAAAATGTGTCTGCAACAATTTTGATAATCTATTCATATTTAATATATCTGAGTTGATAAATATCAGGCAAAAATGCCAGATATTTTCTGGTTCCAGCTTCACAATGTGAGGAATTGCTGCTTTTCTCTGTTTTACATTATTAAAAATTAAATAAAATTGGGCTTTCAGATGTTGGTCAAACAAAATAGGTAATTTAAAGATTTTCACTATAGTCAGTAGAATAACAAATATAATTGTTCACTTGAGCCCAAAGAAGAAGGTGATGTAGTTGTAGTCTTAGGTATGATTGTTGCTTGCAGCGTAACTCTTTCAGAGGAACAGAACAGGGCAAAAGTACTTGTTTTCTGATTTAACTATGGCTTCAGATCAAGTGAGTAATTAAAATGACCAGTTGTCTCATCTTCCCTCTCCCAGTTGTGTCAGACGGCAGAAGTTCACATGAGTCATTGTGGGAATGCCACACCGCTGGCAGCAACCTTGGCACAGATGGCGTCAGCGGGGAAGACGCACCTGCACTGCTCAACAGCCTGGAGCCTCTAGTGGGGGTGGAGACGAATGGGATTGACAGGAGAGGGGGAGAAATCGTGACCCTGACGGAAGATCGAGCTGCCTTAGAGCTGGAGGAGGGGCGAAGTCCTGTGGAAGAGGCGGGGCACGAGGAAGAGGGAGTTGAAGATGGAGAACTGGGTTCCACGGTAGAGGAAGGAGAAGAGGCAGCTCTGGCGCTAGGTGTCTCTGCGTCTACCGAATCAGACCATCCATGGCTTCCAATTAATCAAGCCTCTGTTAATCATTCAGAGGTGGGTCATCAGCCCTGTGACAATGGGTCTAATGATGTACCTGAACATATAGAAGCCTCAGTATCAATTCCAGAGAACCAGGCCACAAAAGTGCCGAGTACTGCAGAGTGTGACACCTGTCATAGTGACAACTTGGCATGATCTGAACATCACTGAGAGACTTAAAAAGCTTATTTAAATACTCTTCCTTGCCGTCCTTATTGATAGTTGCATTAATGATCCCAAGTTGCATTCTCACAGCGTAGCCACTGCTCACTAACTCCCTTTTCAACTCTGTTTTAGTCAATAAAACAGAAAACTCTTTTCCAGCCACCGTTGACAGAGCCGGACGTGCACTTTGCATGTAGACAGGCTTGTTGCTGCGCAGGAACAGACAATCTTGAAATCAATGGAGTTGCCCTACAGGAAAAAAAAATTAGCTGGGAAAATAACAAAAATGGCAACCTCAACTCCTGCGCCCCATATTCCCTTCTTCCTTTCCCCTGCGATGAGATAAATCCCAATTGTTTGCTTTCTTCTTCTTCCTAAGGGATGCCAATAAATTGAGTGCTGCATTTTGTTGTTAGTCTCATAGAGGTTCAAATTGGCTTACCAAAACATGTAATGAATGTGTTGTACATAGATGTAAATTAATAATGTTAATATAAGAGATTCTATTGATGTTTATTCATTTGTAAGGGTGAATGTTACTAATCAGTCAGTTTATATTTTTCCTCATTTATAAGTTGATATTCGGATGAGACTTAATGTGCCTTATATGTGGAAGTATTTACTGATATTTATAAATATAAATACGTAAACCTGCAATGTGACTTGTTTTTAAGTTGGTCTTTATCTTTAAAAAATATATCTGTGCAGTAAAAGTAAGGGATTAATGGTTGCAAGTGTTAGCTAAAATGAATGCATATGGTTAAAATAGGTAGCTAAAAGTAGCCCAATACTACATTAGTGGTAGCACGTGGCAGTAGTACACATGCAGACTTGACCAAACTGACCTAAATACTAAAATGTTTGGACTATGACATGTGGAGTCAACGAAGGGGTATTTGAGTTCATCTGACATGTCTGACAAAAAAGGCTGGGACCAACTGGTCTAGTAACATTGAAAGCTTTTGATTGATATTTGTATCAGCTCCTGCCTTAAGCTAGAAACCACACAAGCAGGAACTTTGTCTGATCAAAACTTCCACTCTGACACAGAGGCTGACTTTGTGAACTTGGTGTAATATTTGCTTGAGCTTTCACACACAAATGAGGTTCGTCTGATAGTAATGTTCTGAACCAGAAAATGAGCCCATATCCACAGAAAATCGCTCTGACTAATTTCTAAGTGTTCACAAGGTTAGTCTCTCATTAATTCTAAATGCAGCAGCCTCAGTCTTCTGATTGTTTTACAGATTAGAGGAGCTTAACTTGATTCTCTTCTTTCCAGCCTTGGGAGAGAATTGTTCCGGCATCACAAATCTACATTGAGTTGTCTAAAATCAAATAAATTTTCAAATTCTATTTTCAGTCGAATTAACATATCAATTTTTAGAAAGATTTATTGTCCATTTATGAGATTATTTTACATAATTTTTCACTGTCTAGGATTGTGTTTGTGTCCAAAGAAGGTACATAAATATACTAAGACACGCACAGTAAGCGCCTCAGTATGATTGTATGATTTAAAAAAAAAACAAAGTTAATGACCCTAAGAGTTTTCCAGCACTGTAAAATGGATGCGTAGACACGCCCGTTTTGTCTCGCAGCCAAAGTCCACTGTGTATTGAGAATCAGTGGTGAGGCCTCCTCTTCCTGCATGCAGGTGACAGCTGGCCTCTCCAGGCAAACACAGCGTCAAAGCCAGAATCCATGAACTGCTTATTCTGCAGAAGGCCACTTGCTATTTTTAATCTCTGACACAAAATAGAGGCGAGGAGAGAGAAAGAATTCGAGCTAGGCAGCCATGGTGTGTACCCAGCGTCGGCCCTGTGCCAGGCAGCTGATTTGGCACACTGCAGCTAGCCTTTTTTTTTTCTTTTTTTTTTTTTTCAAGGAGTTTGTTAAGTTTATAAACCAGATGGAATCTGAACTAATACAATTGAAATTGCAAGATGATACCAGCTTGCCATTGGGTTCCTTATAAAGTTGTTGACCAGTTTTTTTATTTTTGCATGCGTATGAATGCCTTAAAGTAATTCGAGAGCTTTGCATGTCTGTCAGAAAGGAAAGTTGTGAGATGCATTGTCTGATTCAGGGAAGCCATATCGGCTGCTCTTGCGGGGCGGTTAGACGTGTGACATGGATTGAAGTTGACAATATTTTTTTTATCTGTGTCCATCCTTTAGCCATCATTTTAAGCATTCCTGGCAAGCATTGTCACTTTGCTTTGAATCTTCTTTCAACATCCAATTACGACATGTTTTCCATGATCATCTAAAAAACATTTAAGCAGGTTTTGAAAAACAACAATGTGGCCCCAACTCAATTAAGTATGTTCAGAAACTAGAGCTTGATCGATAAATCAGACAATATTTGCTTACAACCCATATATCAATATCGGTGTATATTTTAGAAAAAGTGTCACTATTACATAGTTTGTCCACCAGAGAGCACTGACAGGTTTATTTTTCAAATGCAAAATGTCCTACTTGGTGCATGTCGGTCACAATTCTCCAACCCAAAAAAAATCGGGTAAATTCTAATATCGAAATTGGTATTGGCCTTAAAAATCCAGCATTGGTCAGGCTATAGCATAAAAAAAAACCTGAAATTTTAGGTGGGTGAATTCCCTTAATTAATATTGAACAGCAGTTTCAGCACATAAAGTAATTTATTCAAAGAGCAGGGAGACAAGGCAGTAGTAAATAGAAAAAGCTACAGAGGTGTATTGGTGGTTTACTTTCTCAATAATTACTTGAATTGACCTCATATAACCAAACAAACGACCAGCATAAACACACTATACGAGCTGATTTACTTGCTAAAGATTAATCGGAGACGTCGCCCCTCTGACCCCATTACCTGTCAGGATTTCATTGGCCAGTATTTGGTCTTGTCACAGAGCTGAAAGATTCAGGCTGCCTCCCCAGACCCCAGAGAGCAAAAGAGGATTGCTGAGAGCTGTTGTAGCCTCATCACCACTACAGATAAAATGAGGCTATGGTACCAGCAACTAGCTCTTGCCAAAACTAATCTTAGCCCCTTATCTGTTGACATGGCGAGCCATCCGGCCCCGCCTAGATGAAATTACGTAGACAAAAAAATGTGCATTGCGAAGTGCTTCGATTGGGCCCCCGTGCTGCTTAAATCACTCAGGTGTGTGTTTGCCTCTCTGTATTTGTGCTTGAAGGAGAGATCAAGGGAGGCATAATTTGTATGTGTGCTCATGCCTGTCCTGTGATTTTTATTGCTTTGTACTTAGCTCCAACCCTTTCATGTTTTAGATGTTGAGATGAGTTGTACCATATCATATAGACCACTAATCTTATCACAGTATCAACTTGCTTTGTTCTGATACCTTGCCCCCCCCCGCCCCGCCCTGATCTTACCCTCCCTGGGGCCTGGATAGTGGGAGAGACGAGCTGGGTCACAGCAATGCTCACTGGCTCTAATAAGTGTGACCAGGGAGGGTTTGACACTCCATCATCTCCAGGTCCTCCAAAGGCTTGAGGGATGGAGGGTGGACAGGGGCATGTGGAGCCAGCAGTTTCCAGGCCAACCACTCAGCAGGGTTAATTACTATACCAACCAGATGCACCTTCCAGTGATGGTCAGTGCCCTTATGATCCATGCTTCATTCGCTCACCTTGCTTTTTTACGCTTACCTGAGTTTTATCACGTGTTGCCTCCGAGACACTGGCGGAGCCCTGCAGGTTTGCTCCCCGGGTGCTCATTTTGAGGAGTGTAACTTTCTGCTCTGTTGCTGACAAGAGTGTTATTATCTGAGATAATAGAGGAAAGGCAAAAAAAATTAATAAAAAAACAGGCAAAATATGTCAGTCATCTTTTACCTGCTTGTTTCATGTGGAGTTAATAGTTCTAATGTATCACAGATATGATGTGCATAACTGCATCATTTGCTCAGTTTGCACTTTTATATGGATTCGGTATCTCTGTAATTAGGCTCACTGTGTGCATTTTCTCATCACTTGAGCTGTCAAACATGAATACAGTATAGTCAGTTGCACATAGATAAATTGCTACATAGTCTTAAGGTACATGACGCACTGATGTTGTCATGGTCCTGGCCTCTCTTGAACATTTTCGGTTGTTGGTTGATTTGATGTCTTATACACACTCACTTTAGATTCAAGAAAGAGTATAACATTTTGGGAAATGGTTCATTTTCTTGCAGTTAGTCAGGTGAGAAGATTGATATATCACTCTCATATCTGTATGCAAAATATCAAATTTAGCATAGCCAGGTAGCTTAGCATAACCCCTGTAGAGGAAGAAACAGCTAGGCTGTCTAAAGGGAACATTACACGTTATCGTGGAACTACAGTGCGGATTCTAAAACAAATTTGAAAGTATGAGTTTCAAGAACTGAACTAAAGAAACAACAATTTGCCATTTTACGCTAGGTTATGTGCTGAGCTATTTCTCTCTAATCTCTGCTGGTTGCCTGCCCAACCTCACACTGATTGACAAGACTCTGGACTCTGTTTCCCCCTGTTTCAAGTCTTTATGCTAAGCTAACTGACTGCTGGTTGTAGCCTTACATTTAACGCACAGATATGAGAGTTGAATAGATATTGCCATCTTACTCGCTAAGAAAGTAACTACTTTGAGTATTACTCAAAATGTGAAACCCTAACTTTAAAACAACATTAAACTGGTACATCCTTGAATAGTTATTCAAATTTCAGAAAGATTCTAAATGCATGGAAACTACTTTACTGCTGCCTATGGTTCTTTGTCCCCTGTGACCTACCTCCATAGTTTCCAGATCTCCTGGAGGCAAAACTGAAACTGACTGCTACAACAACAACAACAACATGGCTCCCAAGGCCCCCGCTGGGAAGCAAGTCTGGCAAAGTCGGAAAGAACGTTGGAGGCACGTGAGCTTGTGGACGGCTGATAAGCAGAAAGGCCACGCAGAGGGTCAGCACGTAGCCACGGCGTACAGTCAGATCTCTATTAAGATAGAAGATGGTGGGCCAGTGTGATAAGAGCCGACAGGACCTAGTGATGTGATCTCAGTGATGGGGCGCCAGCTGCAGATGACACTGTCCCCTACCAGCAGGGGAATCAGGGTTTGTGCTGAACCAGCTGGACGTTTGGTATAATGAGGTTGTCCTCAAATATCTTGATTTCAATTTCACAGTGTTTGAGCACTTCCAGAAAACAATAACTTTGGCAACAACTGTCTGCGTGTGAAAATATTCTTTATACCTGTATATCAACGTTTCCTCAAAGGCAGTGTATATTATTAGTCATGTTATCTCATGTTCTTGGTTTGTTTCTCAGAAGCTTTCCAGCAGGACTTCACTTTATTTTCCAATGAACTGGACCAGTTTATTTAACTAACAGGCGGATATCTGGCCTACATCCCAATATAATTGGTTTCCCTTCTTCTCCTCCATTATCAGTGTCACCCTCTGTATTTTACCATCTGGATAAACATGTTTAAAAAGGACTTAGATCCCCTGGCTGACCCACAAGCAGTGTGGTGCTGGGTTTCATTTCACAGTAACACTGTGTTATTGTATTCTCTCAATGGGAGTGCATTTGATCCCAACACTTGTGAGCAGAATATGACTGAAATAACTCTGTATATATATATATATATATATAGTACTAAAAAAACAATTATTAATGAAAATGTAAATTACCCTGAGGTGTTTGTTCATCCAAAATTGTCTATTTGCATGTGCTTCAGTACTACAATATTTTTATTATGTGATGTTAAATGCTATACTCCATACATGGATGAATTATGAGCCCCCATCCAACTGCAAATGTCCTTTTGCATTTCTTTGTATTCGTTTCTATTTGTACTTATTTTGTAGTTGGGCTGTGCGATATGGCCAAAAAAATCAAATCTCCGTTTTTTAACACACTACATCCAATTTACGTTTTTAATCAGGGGCTTGTCTTTGCAGTTGTACATCACCGCATTATAACATTTGACGTTTCCATCTTGATTTTATGATTCTGATTTTTTTATGTATCTTTTTAAAATGTAATCTTTTTTTGTTTTGTTTTTATATAGTTTTATGCCTTTTATTTGATAGGACAGGTGAAGATGGACAGGAACGGGGTGGGGGGCAACATGCAGCTGTGATATGGATGCAACATTAACAAAAAACAAATATAGGATTACATTTGGTTGGCAGATAAGGAATCAGGAGCAACATAACATCAAGACATTCCTACTTTTAACTAAGCTGTGTGACTTTCCAGCAAGAAATGTTAACAGTCACTTCAAACAGAGGTTCTGGCCCAGCGTCCCTTTGATCCCTCAGACCACTGTGCCATTCAGTAATCCATCAATGCTCCAGTATGGTTTGAAACGACAGTATTATAGGGGCATAAAAACATCCCCACCTTGATCATATTTTCTATTTTGGACACATTAAAGTTATTGCTCTCTCTTGTTGTCAATTCTCTGTCCAGTTCTTTCAAGCCGAGGATTGCAGTTTGAGTTCATGTAGCAATATTCTAAATGATTAGTCCCCAGTATTGTCCATAGCCTCGCCGCCAGCTCTGCAGCTATGTTTGCCAGAGCTATTTCATACACAATTGGACTGCTACTTAATAGCCTGTGAAAGAGAGACAGACAGAAAGGTGGAAAATCCCCACTATTTTAAATTATCCTTGAATATTAGAGCATTATGACTTTGTTGTAACGTTGACTTCCTTAACCATCACCATCAATCCCACAGCTATAAGCAATGAGCCATTTGCCATTATGCAGCTTGTTAGCAATGTCCAGGCTGTGTAATTACCTGTGTCAACGGCAATAATTGTCTCCAGTGACAGATTATTCATCACTTTCTAATTGTAGAGGTTGAAAGAAGGGTTTTTAGCTGTTCTAAAAGAGCCTAGAAGTACAAAATGTTCATGCTCTTCACCTTTCCTGGTTGCACCTTCCAGACTTGATCAAGTGTGTGTCTGCAAAAAGAATAGAGAAATTATAATTAAATCACAACTTCAGAGTAAATGTGCCTAATTGTCTTGCCTTTTTCTCTGCAGTTGCCTGCCCAGTTCCCACATAATAGTTGATAACACCCCTTGAACATAGGAGTTGATTTGGTTACAGACTATGGCTCATGCAGTTTGTAATGGGCTGGTGATGAGTGATGATATTGATTAGGCTTATCAGTGGGTGAATGAGTGGGTGCCAGCGTGCCCTTACACATCCCGATGGAGGTCAAATGAATGAAGAGGTAGAGCAAATTGGTTTCATGTAAAGACGAATGATCTCATCGCATCATTCAAACTGTAATGTTGTATATTCATTTATTTCATGTTTAATGTATTTCTTGTTTTGCATTGTTAGAAGTCAATATTTGCCATAGTCATTGTATTTTTATTGGTATTTTGTGATATAAATTAATTAATATTAATATAATAATTGCTTTTTGCATTAATTTAAGAGCTGTTTTTGCTTGTAATGCAGTTTGTACTCAGTATAGAACTAAAATCACTTCATTTACACTCAGAAAAGCAGAAACTATGGTTGTTATTTAATTCTCTAATATAATATCCAGCAGTTTCAGAGCTCCCAGGGTCCCAGCAGCCAGACAAAGAGTCACATGTAGCCTATAACAACTAAATACTTTCGCATTGCTGGTTGCTGGAGACACATCACAGACCTGCCTGCAGTGAGACTGGGGTTGTGGACTGAAGGGGGCGAGGCAATAGTAGTGTCTGTGTGTTGCGTTGTTTGGCGGGCAATCATCATCCCGACCCGACGGAGCAGCAGCGGACCTCCCGCATCCCCGAACCACCGCATCGTGTCTGCAGACACTGCTGATAGGCTTTCATGGACAGCATCATGTGCAAGCCTCAGTAACGCCGGGGACATTTTCTATGCAACGTGCTCGCTTGGTCTTAAAGTAAATCGCGGTTTTTTTTAATTTTTTTATTATCAAGGATAATAACGATGAGGTAAGAGCTTCCGGTCGCCATTTTCCCGGTGTGTAACGGGTTTGGGGGAGAATCTGCTCGGATTAATTCGCCGCTAAAGCCGCTGTTTGCATGGATGCCGGGGGCAAGATGTTCAAGCGACATCGCTTAGATTTGGGTGAAGATTATTCGACGAGTAAAAAGAGACCCTCTGATGGGTACGTAACGTTAGCGTCGCTGCTGCGGGCTGTTGTTGTTTTTGTCCCGTTGCTAAGTAGCCGTGCTAACGTTAGCTCTTTGCATGTTTAGATAAGTGCGTTAGCAGTGGCTGGGTGGAAATGAGCCGCTCTGGTGGGGTCGCTATCTGCACAGGGCTGCTGGTGGACGGATGGGTTATTATGGGCCAACCAACAAAAGTTTAGCGTCACGTTAGCAAGCTAAGTTAGCACACGGGCTGGTCTGGTCTGCACGTGGCTACATGCTAACCCTAGCTAGGTTAGCTGCTATGGGTTTGTGTCTCACAGTGAAATGTTATAATACATTCAGTGACACGAAGTCAGCCCGTCGTGGTGAACTCTTGGTTGTCAGGCTGTGTGGCTTTTACTGAACGGAGAAGGAGGAGCTGCACACAGGACTCCTGGCTAGGCTAGCGTTAGCCGCTTAGCGTTAGTGTGCTGCCCTGGCAGATGTTATTGCCCTCTTGCTGCCCTCTTGTTGCCCTCTTGCTGCCCCCAGTCAGCGCCACTGGGCTTTAGCTGTGAGGACAACCTCTCTGTAGGGACGTTAACTGCTGAGCGTCCATACGGCTTCAGACGAGAGCGGACAGGCCTGTAGGAGCTGGAGGAAGCTGAAGCGCCTCTGCTTGTCAATCGTCAAAGTCACCGTTCAGCTCAGGGTCACTGCCCTGGACCTGACTTCACTGTGACCTTACGGGGGGCTGAATTCTCCCGCGGTGGTAAATGAATAGTGCACGCATTATGTGGACGACGAATTCAGCTATAATCATGTTCAAGCAGCATTATGTGATGTGCGTCCTGCAGCTTCCCCACAGTCCAGGGGTACTGAAGGCTGGAGATGCGCAGTTGCGTACATCCAGACGAGCTGTTGGGTGTTCATGGGTCTCAGTGCTGCTAGTCATCACTTTTCTTGTCTTCTTATTTCTGCCGCACTGTACACAACCTTCACTGACGATAAGTAATGCAGCTGTGTTATGTTTTAAAGTATAAAGGAGGTGTTTTTTTTAGGTGGAATATGCCAGAAATGACTAGTTAATCTGCATGGCCCCACTGTACATTGTAGCCTCAGTTTACCTCTAGAATTAGAAATAGATTATTTGGTACTACTCACACCTCACCGCTGCCACAGAGCTACACACCATCTTCTACATCTGGCCCGTGTGCAGCCAGCTCCACCGCAGTAGCTGGCTGTTAAGTGCCTCGCTCTAGGGTACCTTTAAAGTCAACATTGTGCTCTACAGCTAATGTGGGGATGTAAATGGTTCACGTTCTGGTCTGTAGCCATTAAATACATCTGTCTGTAACAGGAGAACCAACTTGCTTGATGTGGATTGTGGACTGAGATTGAGGCTGTGCTTTTTGCAACCATGAATGAGAGTGTGCAGTAACCTTATCATGTGATTTTAAGATGAGGACTTGGCATAGGCTAATGTCTGTTTTCACGTTGTGCCTTTTCTGTTTGGTTTATTCGTCACAATATCTGGGGAAATTGTTCAAATTTGGTGTTTTCCAGTGTATGTTGGTGTGTATGGATTTGTGTTAAGGCCATTTGGAGTTATATTGTGTCTCTGTGGTAAGTTAAATTGGTTAGTTTCTGTGGCAATGCTTCATCAGATCTTAACCTCGTGCATCTTCCTCTCGCAGGCGTGACCGCGACAGAGACCGCGATGAGCGGCCGAGGGACAGGGACCGCGACCGGGATCGGGACCGCGACCGGGACAGAGATGTGAAGTCGTCCGGGGTGCCCAGCATCATCCCGACTGCAGGCCTTAGTGGCTTCCTTCAGCAATCTCCTTTTCAGCAGCAGATCAACCCCTTCACCAACCTGCCCCACACGCCACGCTTCTATGAGATCCTGAAGAAGCGTCTGCAGCTGCCTGTCTGGGACTACAGAGAGACCTTCACTGACATCCTGATGCGTAACCAGTCTTTTGTGCTGGTGGGCGAGACGGGCTCTGGGAAGACCACGCAGGTAGAAGACAGCGTTTAGCGTTTTTTGCAATACCACATAAAGATGCACTAGATTTGTAACTTGCCCCTAGATCTGATCTGATGTAGTAAAAATGTAAAGTAATATAATTGGTATAATAATATCACCAAAAACAGGGTGCAATGAACAGAGGATGCATTTTAAACAGTTTCTCTGTGGAGCTGATTCACAGTGTGCGGTTGTTAAGTTTATTCTAAGTTCCTGAGAGCGTAGGGTTGTCTGTGTTTTTTTTTTTTTTTTAAATTTGCAAGAGAGAAGATTAGAGTAAATCACTGGTTGAGCCTTTGCCTCCTCCTGAGGGGAATATAAACTATCTTCCAAACACTTCTTAAATTAAGTGGTGTAATCTCGTCAGTGCTTTCTCCCTTGATGATGCGAGAAAACATTTGTATTCAACACATTGATTGTGAATTTTTGAACTCTATGGACTTTCAAAGAATGTTTAGTATGAAATCACCTCTACGTGCTCACAAAGGTAGGGGCTGCATTTATTGATCTTTAGCGATAGTCATCTGTAGTTATCGCTCTTAAAATGTAGGAAAGGAAAAATAATCAGTGGTGCGTTTGTTTAATAATTAATGGTATTTCTTAATGTAAGAGAGGATGTTATGTGTTGTATTTAGCCAAATTAAAATATAATAATGATAAAAGATCAGAGGAGAATGCAGACTCTTTAACATTAGGGCTGCACTGCAATTTATTCTCACAGTTAGTCTCACAATTTTCAGGCAAAATGTATTTCAAAACAAAATAGTGCAAATACTTAATGCATATGGGGCTTAGATTACCGTTGTGTACAAATGAGGTTGCACACAGCTATCAATTGAAATAATAATCATGCAGCCCTAATCAGTATTCCACCAGACATATCCTGATGATTAGGGTCAGGTCCTGTAAGTACTAATAACAGCTTTTAATACTGCCTGCGACATGTTTGTCTCGCCCAAACCCGTCATTGGCATTTTTTTTTTGTTCTTCTGATTGGATGAAATTTGCCCTTTCGAGATGATTCGGATCTTATCACTCATCCGAACCTCAGGATTAATAGAATGGAAATAGGACTCTCTTTGTTCAGCCCTCTCTTGATGAGGGAAAATGATGACTGGTATGGACTTTAATAGACATTTGCTTTGCAGGAGAAAACTGCAACAGTTCACTTCCAAGTAGTACAACTATGTATTCTTCATCCTCCTCCATCACCTTGCCTCGCATTGCATCTCTCAGTCTCTTCGGCTCAAACACAACCTGACGTATCCTCTGTCTTCCAGATCCCTCAGTGGTGTGTGGACATGGTGCGATCAATGCCGGGGCCGAAGAGAGCGGTGGCCTGCACCCAGCCAAGGAGGGTAGCGGCCATGAGCGTCGCCCAGAGGGTCGCCGATGAGATGGATGTCATGTTGGGCCAAGAGGTGGGCTACTCCATCAGGTTCGAGGACTGCAGCTCTGCCAAGACAGTACTCAAGTAAGAGGGCTAGTTAAACATATTCACATAGATAACAGTCGTCGCTTTATTAGCTTAACAGGAGCCCTGTACAAGGGATTCATTCTAACAGGCTGCTCAAAAAATAACACAATATATGTCAAAGCTAACATGGCTATAATATGCGCTCTTTGATTTTCCCAATTGCAGTAAACTTGTTTTTTTTCATTCAGATGTAGAGGATTAAATTGTCTGATGCTTGACCGACTGATGTTAAAGGAAACGTTGGATGTTTTTTATTTCTGTCCTGTTTCTGTTCTGCTCACAGCACTTTGAAGGGAGAATCCTCTCCTGTGGGGAATGCTTTGCTCATTACATTACATGTTTTATTCAGTTAAATGCCATCCCATATGATTATAAAGCCTGCATGTCTTCTGTTCTCACAGGTACATGACAGACGGAATGTTGCTGCGGGAGGCCATGAATGATCCTCTGCTAGAGCGCTACGGCGTCATCATCCTGGACGAGGCACACGAGCGCACATTAGCTACAGATATCCTCATGGGGGTCCTGAAGGAGGTGGTCCGCCAGAGGGCTGACCTCAAGGTGAAAGCAGTTCTTAGAAATATGCTGAGTTTATTGAGTCTGTTTCTAAAAACTCTAAACTCTTTTTTTTAAAGGCCTTTTTTAGAAGGGGTGGATTCATTTGAAAGTTTCTTAATCTTAATGTGACTATTTGTCCAGCACCAAAATTTTCAGTTTATTCTGGAAAATCAACTTTTATTTCACCATATATCTAAGCGTGGTGCTGAAAGTCATCTTGACAGTAGTCTGATTTGCTTCCACAAATATGTCCCACTTAAAGCCTACAAAACACTGTTATAGCCCTAAATATTACTTCCCCCGAGGATAAATTCAGTGACAGCCAGTGTTAATGTCCCTCTTCTGTCACTCCTCCCGTTTGTCACATTTCTTTCCCTGACACTGTCCCCCTGTGTGACAGCTGTGTATCTGTTGAGGAAGAGAGAGAACGTTGCAGTTGGGCTCAGAAATGCACATCTATTCTGCACCACAGCACTAGTGGAGATTGCTCCCAGAGTTAGCACCATTTTAAGCCAATCAACCGGGGGGGCAGCAACGTGTCGGCGTGGATGGGAGCGTGCAGGCAGAGGTTTTATTGGCAAAGTGTGCCAGACATCATTCTCATAAAGCAGATGGATAATGACTAGTTGTTTGTCAGCGTGGAATCAAAGGTTAGATTGTTGTTCGCGGACTGTTAAATGAGGTCTAGGGTTATTGGGAATGATCATCCACCCGCACCCCTCTATCTCCTTCATCCCTATCCCCTACCAAATTTGAAAGTTTAATTTGCCTTGATTAAGAGCAATTATGATGTCTCGCAGAGCGTAAAGCGAAATGCCGAGACACTGGCCCCTGAAAATGTTTGAGATTGAAAATGGGAGACGCGTTTCCCATCAGAATCCTAATGCGCTCTATCTAATGGCTCTGGAGAGAACATTGTGTACCCAACATCAGGAACAAGGACTGTCATAGCTCCGTGTAGGTCAGTGACTTGGAGCGTAATGCCAAGTTCTACGCTATAGACACCATCTTGGGTTTGTGCCAGCGCCCTCATCCTAAATTCTGATTCAAAGCATTATCCAGCCGGTATAGCTCTTTACACTCTTCATCTATTCTATATTTATCCGCACCCTTATCCAATTAGCATGTGTCCTTATCCCCAATTATCATCAAGCCATATAAAATGTTAACTCACGCTCATAATCACCGCAGTCATTTACACTCTGCTGTCTTTACTTTACTAGTTTTATCTTTCCTTTAACCTCCTTTCATGAGTAAATTGTCCCTCACAGACTTCTCTCCTCTACATCTGTGGCCTTCTCTGTCCAGGTCATCGTCATGAGCGCCACACTCGATGCCGGCAAGTTCCAGGTGTACTTCGACAGCTGCCCACTGCTAACCATCCCCGGACGCACGCACCCCGTGGAGATTTTCTACACGCCGGAACCGGAGCGAGACTACCTGGAGGCAGCCATCCGCACTGTGATCCAGATCCACATGTGTGAGGTGGAGGAAGGGGACGCTCTGCTCTTCCTCACTGGACAAGAGGTACAACTCCATAGGTCATTTTTTTTCAAACAGGAAACATTGGTGGTTGATGATTTTATGTTAACTTGTACTGGAAGATTTTTATACAGTGATTATCTTTAGTGGCTCTTTTATCAGATACATGTAGGGCTGGTGCTCATTATCGATTAATTGGTTGGTTATTTTTTCAATTAATCATCGAGACTTTAAAATGTCTCCTCGCAATTATCTAATGGCCAAGATGAAATATTCAAGTTTTTGGCATGTTTTGTGGTTTCTCCTGTGCGCTTAGAAGGGGAAGGAGGGATTTGTGCATTGATTTGAAAGATTCGCACAGTGAAGTTGGGGGGCGGGGGGAGGGAGTCGAGGAGGACCCAGATTCTGCCCTTCCATGGAATCTCTGAAATTAAGTTTTATTATCTTTTTTTTTCCCTTCTGCAAATGTTGTCTACTGATGTGGTAATGGAGGGCAGGTTCATGCCCAAAATTGATGATTTGGTCACAAGCAGGTGGACACACAAACACACACACACACACACACACACACACACGCACAGAAAAGCACCAACAAATGTTTCAATGTCCTGATCATTGGACAGGAGAAGCCAGTCAGAGCCAACAGTGCCTGTGCTGGTGTGATTTTTCTCTCAGCACTCTGTTGGAGACCATGTGATTACCTGTGGTTGTAGAGGAGAATGTAACTGGTGTAAATATAACACAGATTGCTGTGGAGATTCAAAAAACATGTTGGACTTTTTTTGTTACACTGTACCAATTTCTCATCTACACAAGGGATCTTAAAAAGGTCTCATGTAGTTGTGTCACCCTGGCTTACCCAATCACACCTTGTGACGGGTTGTTTATTAGCAGTAATTATTTGTCACTCAACACCGGATTGACTGTGGCAGTCTACCTATGTCAGTTTTCATTTGCCAAAGCAGGATCAATATGCGGCTTGTTACAAAAGAGACAAAGTCATTGGAGGGGCATGGTGTTTGAAGTGGGCTCCACTGAGGTCTGGTAATTGATTTTAGATTTAGTGGTATCCCAGCCGCTCAGATGGTCAGAAACACTGATAGCTGCTCATATGAACGTGTAGAAGTCTGGGATATTTGCAGGCAACGTGTTAAACACTTTCTGCAGTTAGATGTAATATGTTGATTTATATTCCACCCGCCCTTCTTGCACTGTGTCAAGCTAAGGCATTACTGAGAGCACTCCCACGGTGGGTTCATTATCACCCCCTCCTAATTGGGTTAAAGAAGTTAATGTGTGGTGGGTCTGGCAGAGATGGGTGTTCAAAGGGTGCTGCAGCGCATCCCTCAAGCGCTTCTTAACCTCTTCAGTCTCCCAGCAACTTTGATGTAGACTAATGATTGGGAGGCAGATCCATGGCAAAGCCATAGACTCTTTTTATCTGACTGTTTAATTTATATCAGACGAAAGCAAAAATGCACAGGACCCTCCTCCTCTTAGTTTTTCTGTGAAATATTTTTCTTCCACAAACAAATAGAACTGAAGCACCAACTCCTAAGAAGAAAGTCAAAACTTATCACAGCTGTTGAGCAAAGATAAGTCCTAATATTTAAGCTTCCCCCTCAGCAGCTAACATCAAAACGTGGGGATTGGCAAGGGGGTTGTTTGCTAGTCAAGAGGAGTGCCTAAATGTGTCGGTTATTAGCTTGGCTGTAGATTGTTGCTTCTGGGGTCGCAGGGAGAGCTGGTGGACAGGTTCCCAACACTGGCCAACTGCCCCTATGTGTGCACGCGCACGCGCGCGCACACACACACACACACACACACACACACACCACACTCTGTCTTGATGTCCCTGAGGGATAGACAGCCAGCTTGCTTCCAGCACTTTGGCAAAGAGGTCCATTTTTTTCTCCATGGCAGCTGCTGCATCCAGAGGCTTGATGGGCTATTAATACCCAGGCTAATTTTACCAATCTATTCATATTTACCGTTTTCCACTTGTCAGTGTGTTGATTAAGAGGCACGTGGCCATCGTCTAATAACAGACTTGCAGTCCAGAAAACAGGAAACATCACTGTGGTGTTTTGTCGCGTCAAAGCAAGTGTTGCAGGCTTCACACACTGGTACAAATGAAGTCACTTTAAACTAACTTAGCTTTCAAAAATGTTTGAAAAGTTCTGGGCTATTCTTGGCCTACTAGTTAATAAGTATGCATGTAGAGCTCTGGCCCTTTGTATGTTTATAAGCACCGGTAAAAGAAAAAAACCAGAGTTTCTGTGCTTCCCTGCCTTATGACTCCTCTCTTCGCTGCATTGCTCCCATGGGCCTGCAGGTGGTGCAACAGTATAGGCTGTAATGTGACACATACAGTAACTGCTTCTTCATGAGGATTAAATTATTGTTGTTAGCAAAACAAAGAAAATGGTTCTTAACAGCGGGGAATCGCTTAGAAAAGAAAAAGCTATTATATGTTGTTTTAGGCCATACAAGAACCTACTTAAAACCTTCAAGTCTGATGATTAGAAATGTGTATGTGTGTAAAAGCACTGGGTTCATGTGGAATATGAAGGTATACTTAGCACATTTAGTAGTGTATTTCAATAGGCCTTTAGAGAATAGGCCCCAGCCCTGTGCTCACTATCATGCTTTCTTATTTCTGGCGCTACTCAGGTCCTCTGTCTGCCAGCCCACCGGCTCTAGAACGTTCAGCTTCACTAAACTGATCTGCCATGATTTGCCGCTGGTTATGCATCAGTGCTGCAGTCTCATCTCACATTCCCCTCTACAATACTGCACGGTGGAATAATGAACCCTGTTTGAGTCTGTCTGGCTCTGTGTGTGTGTGTG